GGATATTGTCAGATATTCGAGGATCCATCGAAGGGCGATCGGTTTTTCGCGAGCTTCCGGACGAAATTTCATAGAAACAGCTCGAAGGGAGGAGGCAAAGAAAACTTTGGGCAATTTTGCGCCCTCCCCTGCACGCTTGGCGATTTTGCAACGCCACCTTTCGCGCAAAGTTTCCCTTGTAAATTCTGAACAACGATCGCCCGCATTTTCGCGCGGCCCAGAGAGTTTTTCACGAGAAACAACAGTTTACGAACGGGAATAAGGTTGATCAGTGTGCTTTTCTTAACATTTGTTCTTCAGAGTACCAAGAATAGAAATCTCTTTACCAAGAACAGAAATATCGAGCTGCTCTTGAATGTTAATAAAAATTTACGTTGCCTCCACCGTTTGTATTTGGTTGTACGATTTTTTTCAGATTCACGAAAATGGAAACTTTCTTTTTCCAGCGAGGAAATGCTTTTACTTAGAGTTTGTAAATCACTGCATCGAGTGTTTAAGAGACTTTTCGACCAGAAATGGATAAGTGAGCGAGGGGTCTCGATCTGTAAAGCAGCGACGAAGTCACGTCTCTATCGTAAACCCCGTTCGCGTTGCCTTCCTTAACGGAGCTCGCGTTTCCTCGTTTTGGGTAACGTTATCGAGTAGGGACGCTTGAAACCCCGATGTCGTAATAAATCCACGTGGAAATTCATCGACACGTAACGAGCTTCGAATTCAATTATTCTTGTGGGACGACGGGACGGATATTGATGGAGTTTTTACGCGGATTATGCAGACCAGGTTTCCTTTCGGAGTTCCTACGACGCGATGAATGCGACCAAGAGCTCAGAAATTAGGGTTAAATTCAACTACCGTCGTGAAATTTAATTTATCAATGTTCGTAAACAGGAAACTCAGATTTCAAAGATCGGGAAATAAATAATTCGATATAAACGAATATCACTTTCACGTTTTATAAAATTGTAATATTTTTAACAGTCGAGTTCAAAGTATTTTGTAATAATGCAGTGAAAATATTTTCCTTTATATGAATTTATGTTAAGAAACAATTAATGCTCGAAACCATCTGTTCCCACGTGAGAGATTGATTGCTTTATTTGGATCGATCATATTCCAGTTCGAAACATAAAATTATTTTAATTTTGGATAGTATTAGGGAAATGTAGGAGAGTTTATAATTTATTTCTCGTAAATTGTTGCACTCCTGTTACGATTACTTGTGGATTTTTATAAATTTAAACTGCAGACAGTCGATTTAAAGGTTTTATACGAGACAAACAAGCGTACAGCGAAGAAATCACAGAGATATAAGATCGTTAAGGATAACTGTGTTCTGCAGATATAAAACGGAGACGGATAAATTGGAAAAAGTCTTTCACGGTGGAAGACATTTCGAAGAACAGAGGGAACGCTGAACGATTTTTGCACTCGCGGGCGCAGCGACGCATAATCCGTTTGAAAATTATGACGTATTAATCGCGTTTGTAGATCGGGGGCGAACGATTTTAATTCCAGGATCGATTCTTTATTCGTGCATTTGCGCTTGTAACAAAGGGATTCGTGAAACGAATTCGAATTCGAGAAAGGAAAATAGGGATTCCTTCACGCTGTGTTTTTACCGATTTCTAGGGCGACGATTCCGGTCGATTTAGGATGGAATTTCGTATTCTTCGAAGAACGCGCCACAATCGAGGATAACATTTAGTAGACAAATGGAGGAAATGGTTATAAATTTAGGTAAAACGTTCTACTAGTGTAGATTCAAATTTTATGTATCAGAATGTCCCAAAAATGATTGGATATTTTTAAATTTGAACGCCTTAAAATATTTATTATTACTGTAATTTTTTTTAAATTTCAGTACAATTTTGCTAGCGTTTGTAGCATGTGATCTTATTGTAAAGTTTAGAAATTGTTCAACACGGTTTTCTTAATTGAATTACATTTTAAGGTTAGTGTTTTAGTTATATAGAAACAAATTCAGAAAGTAGTCTCTATTTTTAGTGATATGCAATGAAACAATGTTTCATTCTCCGTGGTTTTTTGTTCTAGAATTACTGTATGCACGGAAGACGCCCGATTTCTATCGTACGTTTCTTCCTCGACTACTGATCCTCGAATAAATATTATTCCCCGCTCCTCCTCGTTGTTCTCTAACCACGTTCATTCCTGACAGATCGACCGTACATGCACGACGTATGACCCATTTTTGTCTTCTCGAAACAGGTTGGAGACGATTTTTCCTCCCGAGGACGAAGTGCCTATTTACCACAGACGCGTCAGTTACTTTTTACAAGGATAGAACATCGTTGTCTCGTCTCTCCTCTTTCTTTTTACCCGTTCAAGTTCCACCGTTCAGCAACTGTTTCGCTATTTCTGTCGTGTCAATGGAAGCATTTATGATATCCGTCTTTCCACTGAAACTACCGTGCTGCATCAAACCTCTTTTTTACGATACTGTCGCGGTTCCCTCAAAGTTGATACGTTTATCGGTAAAACATTTCCCGCAAAGATCTTCCGATTCTAACGATGCACATTCGAGCATTCTAAATAAATAGATTTCTACAAATGTTCGACATTGCGTTGGTTACTTTGTACAAAACTAGATCTGTTTACAAGTTACAATCAGAAATTAACAATTCTTTTAAATGTTTTCAGTAGAGAAATTTTTTTAGTTAATATTCATTGAAGGAATTGTTAAATATTTGATTAAGTTTGATGGTTTTTTGAGGTTTTTTTACAAATACGTGTCAAATGGTTTTGTGTACGATAGATATTATACAACAAATATGGCGATTCGGTTAGGAGTACGGGTAAATTCATCAATGAGGTTGGCCCAGCAAATCTGGCTTTAAACCAGATGCAGCGATTGATTGCTGAACAAAGAAATGCCAGCTTATCTAAACCGCGAGGATCAGCTTAAGCGCATTGTGATCTAGCGGTGTTAGTTAGAGACTTAGCTTGAGTTTAATGCCAATTAAATCTGGATCAGTCTTACTGATAAATCCATCAGCATATTTAGGCGAAATGCTTCACTCGTGATCCAACATCTACCAAACAGAAGGTTACGAAATAACGACCAGCATCCCCCAACATCTCCAAGCGTTAAATTCCTTTAATTTATCAAATTATTTTTATATATTTATTTCTATATTTTGGTTTCAAGTTGTAAATATCTGTCCAGTCAATAATTACCAAAATCTTCCAGTATGTATTATACACAAAAATATAAATTTTCTTTCGTAATAAAAATACATTGGAGTCATCTTTGCTTCGTTTTTAAGATCTTAAAAACAGAAAATTACTTAAAATATAATTTCTGCCTCGTTTGCAACTAGAACTTTACCCTGATCCCTTCAGAGGCATCAGAGGCTGTTGCACTCTGTCGTGCAACTGTCGCGTTGAGTTTCCTCGCGGGCCCGTTCGCGCGTTGCAGTTTATTATCGTGTTCCAGTCGCTGAGCGGATACGTGCCTGTTCGCTGAAAACAGCTCGTTGCCGCGACGTGTATTGATGTAAACGAGAAAGGGAATTAAAAACGTGAATAATCCCGGCAAAGAGGGCTCATTTACGTATGCATGGTTTAACCGCGACCCAGCATTTCAACCGTGACCCCCCTCGCGCCCTCCCGCCAGTTTTTCCTACGCGAGGCAGCATAAAATCAGTGAAGTTTTTTAATCACCGCCACCGTCCTACGTGATGCCTGACGTGCAGGATTGTAATTGCGTTGCGTAACCATAGCCCCCGGAATCCGTGGAAACATTTTGGCCCGTGGCTACTTCGACACCGCGGCTACAGAGAAAATCGAGAACCAAGCATCGAAATTTTCTCGAAGGCAAACCCTCATCGACGCAAAGTGGGGACTTTTTAAACAAATAACTAAAATAACTCGTTCATTTTACAGGAGAGAAAATGGTCCAAGCAGAAGTTGTTCAATTTTATGGGCGATAGAGTACATAAATTTCTTTTTCCGCCCATTTTGAAATAAAAATCAATTCCTCTTAAAGTTTCCCAAAAAATTACAGGTTGAGTTAGACAAAGTTTAAGTCTGTTTTCTTTGAAATTGTGTTCTACAGCTCGAATAAATATAATTTCAATATCCTGGGAAACAGTATCCAGAAATAGAAATGTTCAGAGGTTCAATCGTGTACTCGTTACTTAATAGCTTTCCTAATGACAGCGAAGTTAGTTAAAAGTTTACAAGTACCAGAGTTCTTTCGTTTGAAGAGTTTTATAGAAATTCAGAGGGGGAGCTTATAAATTTACGAGTCTGCAAGTTTGGAGCGCTGATTACCAGCAGCCAGAATGGTATCCAAGTTGTCTCTTATCTCGTATTTACTGCTTCTTACTTCGCCGCACTAATGGTTACGTCAAACATAAGACCGCTTCAAGACCTCGCGTTTCCTATTAACGTTCCCCGATGTTTATTCTCGGTTTTTACATTTACCCGAACTGGTCGATCGTCGAACGATTAACACCGAAACGTTCCTCCCGTTTCTGTAGCTTAACACGCTGGAACCACAAACATCGAATGAAAAACCTGTTTGCGTACGAAAGACGAACATCGAAGTCCCAATACTTCAAACCAGTCTCTTCTCTTGAAGTTTACAGTCGTGGATCTCTGAGTTGGAGAATGTCGAGGCATCTGGAAGAACTTTTGTACGTTTCAAGATTAATTTTAGAAACTAGTGATCATCGTGTGGAACGTAAACATCTTGTTAACGAAGTGTCATGCAAAAGCTCGAGAAGAGAAATAAATTTCCGATAAATGTCCCTTTAAAAAGAACCTTCAATTCTGTTCGATGGTCGTTTATTTTTAACGTTAATGAAGGTGTTTGTAGCAATTTGTACTCTTCTTCGATTTAACATTTACGTGTTCGATGTTACATTCGTGAGTCCTGTTTGCGTGCGCGAAGCTTTACGCGGTGTTTTATTGAATCTGTTTTACGATGAACATGTGTGGTTTACTGTTTCGGAGGAAAGTAAACTCTTTCTTTATAGGCTTTTGATGTTCAATCTGGCTTTGGTACTCTGCACGGGACGTTCGAGATCTCCGAATTCGGAGCTCGCTGAGGTCCTTCATCGACCCATCAGAGCCCTAACGTTTCCTGAAGAGAGTGGCCTGGGTGTAAGTGTGAACGCTAACTTCCTTCGTTTGTACGTAAGATCGCAAGAACCGATAACTTTAAATCGACTTGGTCAATCCCAGTTTTTCGTTTCAACTTCTTATCTTTACATTAATTCTCTCTGGTGAAAGACTTTTTCAATATCGGTCGATTGGAGGCAATTTTCGGCAGATTCTGAAAATTAAATGCACTCTGTTTCCTATATAGAAACATATACATATACACTTATAATTCGAAATTTATTATTTTATTTAGCTAATGCAGTCTGTGTTACTGTAAATAAATTTTGATTCAAAACGATCTTTAAAGCCTAGTATCTTATGGGTTGAATTTATTCATTAGGAAAGGAACACACTAATTTTACTAATATTACTAGTAACTGGTACCTACATTCATACAAAATAGAAATATTTCCATTATTTACTTTAATTTAAGAAATCAGTGACACACATGAGCGAGTTCACAGGTGACAAACTACGGTCAACGTTATAAAGGTACAACAGTTCGTTCAACAATTTTATTTTTACACTTTTTTAACCTTTCACCAAGTGTTCTTTGCACGTTGGAGAATGAAGCTTTTGAAGCATTAATGAGCATACGACCCATGGATTGCATTTTTAATAAATAACACTGTAAATTTATATTTCTACAAACGTAACATTTCGTTTCCAGACTGGTTTATGTACGACAGTAAGAGTAGTTATTTTTCAGCATTATTATAATTATAATTGATTTATATTCACGTTCAAAACAATTGATTTTATTCCAGTTGTTCCTCGCGTTGGCGGTACCGCTGGAAGATCCTTATAAATCCGTTGCCATAGCAAACTTTTTCGAGGCGACGTACGATTTACCCACAAACGCGTCCGATGAGCATCTCTTGTTCGAAACTGGACAGAGCAGAAGGAGGAGGAGAAGCCTCAACAGAGCTACAGTTTACGAAATGTTGGAGATAAAGTTCGATAGGTGTGGTTCGTTGATTATCATATCGCGTTCTTTGGTTTCGATGGACTTTCCATATCTGTTTTATCATTGGAATTGCGTTGCTTCGCGTTCGCGCGCAGAAGAAAAGGTTGGATAAACGAAACTGTTACACGTCGAGGCAGATATAGATATACACAGCAGCTGACCTAGAAGTCATAGTGGGTCAGAGACGGTCTTATTTTATTTTTCACTTTGCTCCCCCCGACTTTCTGCGCAGCTACGGATATCAGGGTCACGAGTGTCTGCTGAGGGCAATTTGCGAAACTTCGGAGCATTCCTTGAGACATAACGGGCTCATCGGTGACATTCTGCACGTGATCTTCACGTAAGTTTCATCGTCAACTTTTGCATTACCTTAATCCTTATTTGATAATCACCTTATATCCTGAAAACATGTGATCCTCACACTGGCCCTTAATACGTCTATAATAGCAACAATACATTGGAAAATTTGAGCTTGAGACGAAGATGTTTGTATGTAATGTTCCATTCGAATTCATTCGCCGATTTCGACACAATCATTTAAGAAAACTTCTTTTTTATAGAAAAGTAATAATAATAATAATAATAATACATATTTTCTTGAAATTTATCTTGGTTACGATACCTTTTTTTATAAATCACGGAGTAAACTTCGTTTCATTTTGATACGTAGAGTCACGTTCTAAACAATCTGTATATTTAGGAAAGATCGATACATAGTTTGATAAGTATGCACGTATATTAATAATAGAAAATTATTGACTTTGTGACTGATCTTGGTTGAGCAACGAGTAAATAGGTAAAATAAAAGAATCATTCATAGTTGATGTCGATAAAAATTACTTAGAATTCTATAGTCTGGTCATCAATGTATAACTCGAGTATTCGAGAAAGATTCCTGATGGCGTTTTCTGAGCGTGGTGGGGATGAGGCGTGGCGAGAGAATAGAGTACTGTAGCCATCGGGTGTTGGCTGACACTGTTTAAAAGATGTAATGAATAGGAACTTCAACATTTATCTCGAGCAGCGTGCCAGGTAGCATACTTTACAGCTTTCAATTCTGCCGAACAAAAACATTATTTCATTCTACAAATTTTTTATGACATCAAAACTTTGATGTCAGACAATTCTAAACTACGTAACTTAAAATTTGTCTCGGTAATTATTTCCATAACCACGCTAAAATTTATGAATTCCATTCAAATTTGTTTCTTTCAACATCTCAGTTCAGAATCAATCGCTTCGGTTCCCAAGGTGAGAAGTCTTCGACACTCGAAGCGTTAATTAACGTTCCAAAAATCAATCGAACGCGCTCCCCAGTCAACTTTGGCCGCCACGGGAGCGACTCGAAAAAAGTATCCACAGTTCCCTTTGCGAATCAGCTTCGCTGGTGGTCTTTGCTCGAACATAGTCGGGTATTGTTCGCGCGGGGGCGTAACGCGCTAAAGGACTCTGCTGGAAAATTCGCCGGCGCGACCTCCTTTCGCGCGTCGAGGGAGAGAAAAAAAAAAAGAAAGAAGAGCCAGGCCTTTTTTCGGCCGGTCCAAGGCGGCGCAAATTGGAGTAGATACACAGACCGTGTAGAAAAGCAAATTTGGTTTAGCTTTCTCGCTTCTCCGCCCGGCCTGTCGGTCTTCCTCCGTGCTCGTGTGCGGGCACAGTTGGCTACAGCGTGCCCACCAGTGTGTGTGTGTGTGTGTGCGCGCTCGCGCGATCTCGTGGGTGGATAAACTCTCGAGCCAGGGACGTATGAATAAAAAAAGAGGGCCCGCGGGCGGCCCGTGACGGCGCATTGTCGTCCTCGCCGTCGACGAACGTCCTATATCCTCGTCGTCGGGGAATTTCCGAGCGGTTTTCCAGCTACGAGGCAGAAAATAGACCGACGAGAATGTGTATTAGGACTAGGAGCGTCGAGCTCGTTCTTTCTTAGGGTTTTGGGAGTTTCGTGGTTACACCGTGGACGGTTACACACGGTCGGTCTACCTGCATCAGGCGTTGGTATAAAGGGTGGACGGATTCAATGGGAATATGAATCAAGTTCTCTTGCGTCGAGCAGCGAAAATCGTCTAAATGAGAGTATTTTAACATTTTTCACTAGTGGATCCGCTATTCATCGCGTAGCACATTTATGGAATTACGTTCCCTCGTTTCTATTTGTGGCCATTTACGATCTCGTTGGGAGTTGTCTAAGGAAAATTATAAATAATTTTTCGGGGGGAAAAAATAATTTTATGCGTGTGAATAGATATGGAACGTAAAACGTCATATGTGAATAATTTAATATAGAATACATATCAGAGCATGGTATGAGATTGACACGTGATATTATATATGACAGTAGGTGGAATCGTAAATCGTCCACGAGTGTATAAGATCACACTTAATCATATGCAGCATCCCATGCATACATGATTATATAGGGCGTCTCAGGGCAAGCAATGCAACGGGCAGGGGGTGATTCTACGTGCAAAAATAATTCGTTGACGTAGAATAAAAATTGGTTTTCGAGGTAATTAAATTCGAAAATTTGGCGATCGTACGGATTCAATATAATTTGGCGCGTCTGACCAATACTCACTACTTTTACTTCCACCAATACTCAAGTCTCTGTCGCAAATTTGAGAAAAAATTGTCAATTTCTGTTTGATAACAAGATCGAATCGTTTTCTAACGAATTGTACAACACGCTAGCAAAATGTTACCATCCATTTTTATGTAAATCTGTACATTAGTTGTAGGTTCGTGGCGCGTGGAACGTCACGGAAAGGAGACCCGGGGTTAAATTATTATTCCGCGTTTTGGAAGGAACTTCTTTAAAGTTTTCGCGACGGAAGAGAACTTACGGGGTTGATTCATGAAAGGAAAACTGCGCTTCGAGCGACTGTACGGCGAAGAAAACGCGGGCAAATAGAGAAACAGCGGGGTACGCGTTGCACGGCGGGAATAAAAATTGCAAATGAGCTTTTGTTTTGCCGTTGAAGTTGTTATCGCGCCGGGAAGAGCGCAGGATGCATTGTCCTCCTTGGGAATCCGTTCGTGCGCGAGGTCTCACGGGTAATTTGAGGGAATGGAACGGGTCGGAGGAGGTATGAAAAAATCATGGGGATAGCTTATTTTACTTCTCGCCGCGAACGACGCGTTATTAAATTCGTATGAGGTTTCCCCGTGAAGCTTAACAAGGACTGCGAATAAACGATACGTTGCAAAGATACTGATACCTTCGCCCGGAAATGGACGACTTCTCCGCGAACTCTCAAAACCCTCGAAGCGAGTTTCTCTTATTCCGGAACCGAAAAGAAAATTCTATTTCTCGAGAAAGCACGTATAACAGTTTCCAGCATTTTATTATTATTTATCGAGTTTTATTTGGAGTTATTCTTGCTACAGAGTTTTCTTTCTTTTTTAGATATAGTAAATATAAAACAAAACATTGGTCGAAATTGAAGTAGGGAAAATTAAAAATATACAAGCGTTGTCAATTTTTAAAGAAATCCATAATTGAAACCACGAAATATAAACCCGTTTTAGTTATAGTTTCTTCTGTCTAATAAGGGCAGGAATAATTTATATCTTTGACATAATTAAAACACTTTATATACGAACGACTTTACAAATAATTTAAATCGTAGAGAACAGTATATGGAAACCGTTTTGAAAGTGTTTCGTCGAAGGATTCGAAGATCGTTAGAGTCATTGAATCGAAGCAAACTCGAAAGAAACTGGAGAACACTCGTCTGTATTTTTGAGGAACGCGTTGTGCACTGATAACGGAATTGTATTGTTTTTCACCGACGTATCGCCGAAACGTCGAAACGAAGCAGAAAGGTCGAAGAGATGCATGGTTCTCGGAGTCTTCTTGATACGAAATAAGGAAAGACAAAAGTCGGTGTAAAAGTGCAACGAAAGCACGGCTCCTGGCATGTTTTTACGACCGCGCTAGATACGCGAGACATATCGTTATGTTTGCCAGCCCGTTGCGCGTAATGATCCCTCACTGAAACGGAGGGACTGTCACTGCGATTATATAAAAAAAAAAAAGAAACGTAGAGACCGGAAAATGTACGGAGAAATCCCGTTTATTTCCGTCCAATTTTGTCGCGAACTCGCTGCGAATCCTCAATTATGCTCCCCCTAAACGGAACAGGCGCCATTGAATCCCGAGTGGTTTTAAACTCCGTCGACCGACCTCGAAATCTTTAAATTCAATTTTTGGATGAACCGCGCGCGATGCCAAACAGAAGAAGCAACGAACGAAGTTTCGATTATTTTTTTATTGATTCGGTGCTTAATCTCGAATAAGGGTAAACCATCACGGGAAAATCTTAAGATTGATCGAGAATAAGACTGAAAACGACAGAGAAATATTCGAGGCCCAAAGGATGGTGACAACGTGGTGGCTGATTCGAAAATTGAGAATATTTTTTCTCCTGCTCTCAATGCCAATCACGTAACGCATATTAGTTTGCAAACGAATCAGACAACAGAAATCTGTAGGTTTATGGATAGTTAAAGTAAAAAAATGATTAAAAAGATAAATACTTTGATGCAAGGAAGAGTACGATGTTATCTGTGTACTATGCGTTCTTTCAAATTTAGAAGGTAGTTTTATTCATTCTTTAAATATTTCAACTGTGCAAGGGGCGGGTGAGATGCACATTAAATCTGTGTATTATTCTAATTTTTTCTGCTAAACCGACAAGTTAAATTGTAATGTGTTCCATAAAAGTGTTTTCATTCGGATCGTGTATGAAAAAGAGTGTCGAGTTTATTGGTAGCCTTCTCAAATTAGTTCTATTTATTTTTTAAATATTTTGAAAAAAACGTGATATATATATATTATATAGATTTTCACTGTTCAAGAGGGGGTGAGATGCAGATTAAATCTGTATATTTTTCTAATTTTTTCTGTTAAACTGACAAGTTAAATTGTAATATGTTTCCATAAAAATGATTTTATTTTGATCGCGCAAGAAAAAAAGTTCCAACTTTATTGGTAGCCTTCTCAAATATATATACGAGTGCAAAGGGTTAAGTTACTAGTGTTCCATAACGTAAACGGAAGTCAGATGGAACAAGGGATAGCAATGACTGAGAAGGAACCATCGCGAACGGTCCGGCTTCGATTTTGATGAAACTTTGTACACTTATAAAGCAGCCAAAAATAATCGACACGTATTTTTTTTTAGCTGCGGTAACTCGAGTTTAAGGGGTGAAACCACCCCTTGAAGTTTTGGCTCGAAACGGCTATCTCGAAAACGGAAAGAGATACAAAAAAATTGTTAATGTGCGAGGTTAATGGTTTCTTATGTACAATAACATGGTGTTAAAAAATTAAAAAAAATACAATTTGTTTATAACAAAAAAAAATTTATTAACTTAATTTTTCATTTTATTGAAATTTTTATAATGACAAAAAATGACGAGCATTTTATTCCAAATCCATTGGTATGCGATTTTTTAAAATTGCCTCTTACAGTTTTGCAGATTTTGATGATTTACATCTTGCGCGCACATTCATTATGGTAGTAGCCGTTCTAACTTTGATTTTAATGAAGCATTGTAGGCTTGCACTAAATTATACAGTAACAAGTAACAAGTAACAATAACAGTAACAAGTTTCTTAACAGCAATGAAAAGATTTTTTTTTATGCCCACCTATGACATTGTGGCAAAGGGGGAGCGATTTATAAATTATAAATACATACAGTGTGTATACCAGGAGATAAAGATACACTTATTATTCTCATGATGTACTTGCTTTAAAATACAAATTGAATAAATAAATATTGTCATTTCTGCGGCTCGCCTATCATGCAGTTTACGCACGTTATCTAAATCTTCACTGTTGTGAAAGCATTCTGTGTAATTTGTATAATAAAAATACGTGTCAAATGAGATTAGTATGTGCATCTGTATCTCTGTTGTTATTAACATTCTTTAAAATCGAGACGGTTTTTGTAATAAACATGATAAAATGGGTATATTGAAATGGAGTTTGTATTATACCTTTTGATAACGTGACATATCGTAAAGTTAATTAAATTGATTGCCCTTGTCATGTGAAAATAATATTTGTTGGTAGATAAGTGGGAGAACTTGGATATATATATATATTGCAATTAGCTCTTTATAAGCGTGTAGAACATTGTTGGTTATCCATACAGCCGAGGTGCCGATTCTGGGCATTTAAACGTTGCACTTATCCAGCCAATCTTTTGTTGCATATATCCAGCTTTTACTGTATTCGGAAAGATGGTAAATATTAATCCTATTAATGTAATAACTTTACTGTCTGCTGCGTTTGTTGAGTGGAACCAGGGACCCACGCCAATTAATAACGCAGAAGAAAATTTAAGGGATGTATTATTCGATTTAATTGTAAGAAGTGTCGAAGACACGGCATTCCTGGTTGAACATGAAACGTGTGTTGAAATGGACGGGACGCCTATCGACCAAGAACATCAGGATGCTGATTTGAACTGGTTGTGGGTAGATGAAGAGGAGGAAAATAGGACACCGAATATTCCAAACATATACGAACAAGACGTTGTATGTCATTCGAATAAGGAATACACCCCATTCGAATATAAAAGGAAAGCTGTGGCGTACTGGAACAGCGGGAAGTCGAAGCGATTAAAATTAGACACCGTACGTTCCAAATTCCGTCACGTGAAATCCGAAAGAATGCTTCGTAAATGGGCTTTACAAGTTGAACAGGGTGGCACAAAAAAGGAAAAAATAAAACGTATTGCAGAGTATACATTTAATAAATTTATGGAAGCTCGGCAGTTAAGAGTAATTGTGCATGAAGTAGATCTACGGCGATGGGCTTTACAAGCGAGGGACATAGAAAATTTACAAACATTTAAAGCCGGATATACTTGGCTATATACTTTTAAAAAGATGTTTAGATTAGTGTCCAGAAAAATTACCAGATTTGTAACCACAAATATGGTAAATCGAGAAGACGATATTCATTTGCAATGCAGCGCATTCGTGAATGAAGTAAAATCATATATAGCCCGAAATGAACCACACAATGTTTACAATTCCGATCAAAGTGGTTTTAATTTGGAATTACATTCAGGGCGCACTTTGGCTGAAGAAGGTATAAAAATCGTAGAAGGAGGTGTTCAATCAGTGTCATCCACCACTCATAGTTACACCATCCAGCCAACCATTTCAGCTGATGAACAATTACTGTCACCATTATTTATTGTACTGAAAGAGAGTACAGGACATTTCGGGCCGATTGTGGAACAACATTTATTTCGCCCTGACAATGTATATCTTGTAGCTTCAAAGTCAGGCAAATTAACTACGGACCATTTCAAGACCTGGTTAAGAGAGATTTACTTCGCAAATACTGGGGCCGCAACAGTTCTAATTCTTGATTCCTGGAGTGGTCACTGTAAGAAGACGGTGAACGAAGTTACTCCCGAGGGTAAAAATGTAAAACTTTTTATAATACCAAAAGGTGGAACAAAGTATGTTCAACCACTGGATGTTTACGGTTTCCGCACTTGGAAAAATTTCGTCCGCCGATTTTCCGATATAGTTCTCGTTTTAAATCACGACATTAATCTCCACGCTAGGAATAATATAATTAAACTTCAATCTCTGGTCCACAATCAATTTTCATCGTCAAGGTTCCAAAATTTTATTAAATACTCCTGGTATAAATCCGGATATATAGATGAAAAGCCAAATGCATTCCAGAATCCTGTTGAGTACTGCTATTCTGTTGAAAATGAGCCAACATGTCATATTTGCGGTGACGTGGCAATAATTAAATGCGCATGGTGTAAGAAATCTTTATGTTTCAAACATTTTTTCGACGAGTACCACTGTTGTCGGAACTATATAGAATAATTGTTATACACACTGCATATATTTATAATTTATAAATCGCTCCACCTTTGCCACGATGTCATAGGTGGGCAATAAAAATAATTAATCCTTTCGTTGCTGTTAAGAAACTTGTTACTGTTATTATTACTCGCTACTTATTACTGTATAATTTAGTGCAAGCCTACAGTGCTTCATTAAAATCAAAGTTAGAACGGCTTCTACCATAATGAATGTGCGCGCAAGATGTAAATCATCAAAATCTGCAAAACTGTAAGAGGCAATTTTAAAAAATCGCATACCAATGGATTTGGAATAAAATGCTCGTCATTTTTTGTCATTATGAAAATTTCAATAAAATGAAAAATTAAGTTAATAAATTTTTTTTTGTTATAAACAAATTGTATTTTTTTTAATTTTTTAACACCATGTTATTGTACATAAGAAACCATTAACCTCGCCCATTAACAATTTTTTTGTATCTCTTTCCGTTTTCGAGATAGCCGTTTCGAGCCAAAACTTCAAGGGGTGGTTTCACCCCTTAAACTCGAGTTACCGCAGCTAAAAAAAAATACGTGTCGATTATTTTTGGCTGCTTTATAAGTGTACAAAGTTTCATCAAAATCGATGCCGGACCGTTCGCGATGGTTCCTTGTGAGTCGCGGGAATTGTTATCGGAAAATATCTAGTCGTTGATTCCTCCGAAAAAGGGATCGCAAATAATAATCCTTCCGTCGCGGGAGTGGTTCCTGTCGCGTCACGTGACACGCCACTCGTTCAGCTCCCTCGATGCCCGCAAACACTCGGGCGGCATTAAATTGGCCAGAAGAAAGCATCGTATGACGGCAATTTAATGGCCGTCCGTTAACGAGTTGGCCGACGTTGCGTCGTGCTCGTTACGCTAGCCGTATCACGGCAAGAAAAAGCTCCTTATTATCATCCGGGTGTACGATATGTATGTACGGTGCTGTGCACGTTGTTTTCAGACCGACGAGCTCGCGACACGAGGAACTGCCGCAGGACATTCTTCAGGCTGAAGTGGTCGGACGTAATGGAGGCTGCTCGAAGTACCAACCGCAATGCCCCGTGGGACTCTTCGACTTGATTGGAGTCCTCCGTTGAGCCCTGAAAATCCACTGCGGTTCAACCCGTTGCTTTTCGAGCGGGTAAACAGTCTGGTTTTATTAGCAAGTAACTCATTTAAACGCAACTTCATCTTCCCCAAAAAATTTATGAGACGTTCTTCACGGCTTTGTCAAACAATGCATTCGATTCTAGCTTCAAACTCATTTGATACTAGGCCATTACACCGTCGTGTCAGAAGCAATGTATTGGATTTAAAAGAAAATAATTTCTAGCGAGGTCAGCGAAAAGATTTGCTCGTTTCAGAGAAAAGTATAGGCTAAGAACAATTTTTGCCTCGAGTAATATTATTCCATTTTGATAGAGACATTTGGTACTAATTTGCAGACACCAAAGTATTTTAGCAAATTTATTTCAGTCTCAATTAAAATTCGTGAGTTCGCGATCGACGCGACGTACACGAGACTGTGTGTACTTAAGATCGAAGTAATTGTCGGACGCAAAATTTTCGATGAAAATGTGTGACCCGCGGCATAAAGTTCGCAAGGGATTTACGTCGAAAGTTCGTGAAACCAGCAGAATTTTACAACCGCTATGGATGTTAAGTCCACGGGAATTTCAACACCTCTGTAAGTAAAGCTAGATACTTTACAGCGGTAACATAGTAACTTCCACGAACTTTCATTAGGGATTCAAAAGCGGCAGAAGTACTTAAGTGTATGTGCGAACCCAAACCCCCACCATTCGTTTGGTCTTTGGAGTGCTGTGTCGGTGCTGATTTGTCATGGAGTCCCAAAAGTTTCTGAAAAATTTCATTCCTTCCTGTTGAATGTTTCATGAAAGAAGTCTGCCTAGCCTGACAGCAAAAATAATCAATTTCTCTTTGTTCTTGCAAAACCGGATGCTTGACACAAAGATTTATAAAATATCGAGACTTTACATGGCTTGGCAAGCCCTTTTTTTATTCATTTCAATAGTCACCTTCGGACATAAATATATGTTCTGAAAACTCTGATAAAGTAGAAGAGTAGAAACAAGGGTGAATTGATAGGTTCTTCTGTGTCGAATTTTAATAATTTTTGTTCCAGTTTAATAGTCTGAAACATAATTTTTCAAACGTTCACAACCCACTTTCGAAAATGGTAATCGTGGTGTACTTGCCTGTAATGCATAGCTTAAAAGGAAACAGGTGTTCAATAAAAAATATCTCTTTGTTGCTATTAAACTAACCTTCAACTGGCGATGTTCCTTCAATTCGACGTATCTCGAACTTTTATGATTAATTTATTATGTTATTTTATTATAATAAATATACTCTATTTTCTTAAAAGAGTCCAAGAACGCGTATTAAAAATACTACAACTTTAGGCGCGCGTAGTTCCGAAACTACAAGTGTTTATCAATAATTGAGCTATTACTAGAAGCGGCAAAGCTTCCCCTTTAAAATGGTTTTTGGTTTTTGACGATACGACTTTCCGTTTTCGAGATATCGTAATTTATGTAAACGGTAATTTATTTTAATTCGACCATCTCACTGTCCGGCTCGCGTATAATAGCCTATTCACGCGTATTAAAAATACTAAAAGTTTAGACGCGTGCAGTTCCGAAACTATTAGTGTTTTATTAATTATTAAGGCATTCTTAGCGGCGGCGAAGCTTCCTCTTTAAAATGGTTTTTGGTTTCTGTCGATCCGACTTTCCGTTTTCAAGATATCGTAATTTATGTAAAAGGGTATTTTTCTTAATTTGACTATCTCTGTCTCCGTCTGACGCGTCGCGTCGTGCCTCTTTGTTGCGCGGAGTCGAGACAGTCACATGACCAGGGAGTCTCAGTATTTCCAAGAATTTACTACGCATTGTTTACTATTGTCACGTGCGCGATACCAATGAACTCGCGCGACCGCACCAAAATGTAAACAAAGCTTCGGACCCTTATATCTTCGAAACTAGCCACCGCATCGACTTGAAACTAAAATTATCATATCTCTGAAACTAATAAAGCTATCGACTTGTACAAACGCTCATTTTAAAGGGAATTTCATCCTCTATCTAATGATCATATCACCTACTATAATTTATGTTGTCTTCCATGTTTATTTTGACATTTACTTTGACACTGTGCACCCAAAGAAGTTTCCGCAAATTCCTATTAATCATACGACTGATGTGCGACAAAATTTGATGGTAAATTGTTTATTTAATTGAAAATGTATTTAAATTTGTATACAGGATGTTGGCATAATTACTAGACAGCCGGTCATGATGGAAATAGGTATAAAAGTGTCGGTATATTTAGTGTTAAAAGGAAACGAGACAATTTTTGTTATATGCTTAATGAAGTTTAAGAAATTCCTATTGATCATACGACTGATGTGCGATAAAACTGTATTATAAATTGTTTATTTAATTGAAAATGGATGAAACCGCCACCTGGAAAGATTGACGTGCCAAAGTGGCTAATAAGTTTTGAATAAATCGTACTTTTTCCACGATTATCGACGGTTCACGAATACTGCCACGTTCTACTGTAAATATCTACCAAAATTATTCAACTATTTTTATTTACGTTATCTTCTACGTTTATTTTGAAATTTACTCTGACGCTATCTACCCAAAGAAGTTTAAGAAATTCCTATTTATCATACGACTGATGTGCGATAAAACTGTATTATAAATTGTTTATTTAATTGAAAATGGATGAAACCGCCACCTGGAAAGATTGACGTGCTAAAGTGGCTAATAAGTTTTGAATAAATCGTACTTCTTCCACGATTATCGACGGTTCACGAATACTGCCACGTTCTAACGTAAATATCTACCAAAATTATTTGTGATTAAATAAATACCGGCAACCTGGTGGCTTCCTATAAACTCCACGTGTCGCTCGATTGCGAAACACATCAGACACCGTGTCGCAAACACGAAACGCCTGGTAAAAACTGCTTAAATTCTGTGCTCTAGAGCAAGATTCGGCTTGGATTGCTCGCGTTCCACGTCTTAGGAGATTCTAATCCGCGGCAGGTGTCGTCGACGCGTCGAAAGTTCAACCGCGGAGTTTTGATTAATCAGCTCGTTGGCATGCAGCTACTCCACAGCTATATTCAGGGGTTTGATCGGCTAATGAATTTCGAAATTGGCCTGTTAATCGATTTCCTTTACACCATAGCGTGCATTATACATAGCAATCAGGGAGGATAACACTCCGCGACGTGACACGAATCTACGAAAAGCAGGAACTCGCCCCGAACCACCCACGCTGTTACCACAAACCGCGAAACTTGTCGCTGTAGACCTTTCGCGGAACTATCAAAGATCTCGAAAAGGTCTCGAGAAACTCCCGCGCGGTTTTGAAGGACCCAAGGAAATTGAAACGTTTACGGGATCAGCCCCGGTGTTTGGGAACCATTGAAACGCGTTTGGCAACTTTCTTCGAGCTTTTCAACCGGCAACGCGGGACCCACGAATCCGCCACAACTTTCCAGCTGAATTGAAGCGATTAAAATTCACCTAAATCGTTATTCTCACTCGTATTCGTACGTTATAATAAAAATGTAAAGGTGATTAGAAAAGAAATAAGTCCATTCTTTTATGCATTAATATATTTAAGGAGGTACAATCGTGTGCAAAGGATTGAAGAATGAAATGAATAATTAACTTGAATTCGTTGATCGTCGGGAGACAGAATGTGGGTTCCCACCTATTGTCTTGCATGCGTCCTTCGTGCTCATCAGCCGGATGGACAAGACATTACAAGCTTTCGAGGCTCCGACGTCCGTCGATGAGGGTAAAGTGACGAATGACAGAGAAATTGGATTGAATTTGCTGGCAGGACGGTCGGGTGTTAGGTGTCGACGCCGATAGTCTTCGCTAAAAGGCTTCGAAGCGACGCGTTGTACGTCTTCCCGTATGAAACGAAGGGTCGAAGACGGCTGAGAATCGAATTACCCTGACTGGAACTCAGATCGTCGTGAATCGACGATCATTGGGGGCGTCTCGTGAAGCTGAAGCCTAGGCAATCTATTAGAAGGGGAGAAAACTAGTACAGGAACAGTGATTCCCAACTTCCCCTATGTGACACAACCGGTTCGTGGATCAATATAAAAGCATAAAAACTTTTTTCAAAGAAACGTCAATGGCAAGCACAGTTCAGATCGTTTTAAAAACATTTAAAAGGAAACATTGGTATCTATTGAATGTAAAAAGAAACTCGAATCAATTTTTTAAGCCTTGTTTCGATAAAATTGATTTCAAATATTTTGAATATTTCCTGTACAATATGCACATTTCTGTTTGTATTAATTCTACTCGATAATGGAGTGTACACAAGGATCAAAACGTTCGCTTTAATAACAGATTAATTTTATAAGGTTATTTCTGGTCTGGTTATCAGCTTAAAAATGATTGAAAATATATTATTCATTTTCTGTTAGTATAATTATCTTATTTTCAGTCAATTTCGACGAACAATTTCGAATATATTATTTTACATTATTGCCCATAATCCTATCGAGTTGCGGCTAATTACATTTTATTTTATTATAAAATGCATTCATTGACGTGTTACAAACTACATAAAATGCCATTATTGCTTGAATATGTCCCAGTAGAAGTTACTCAGTCAAATCCTATAGTAATTTTTTCTTTTAAATCATTAATTTAATCAGTGGTAAAGTATGCGACATATATTTTAAGGGGGTTTTTATAATTCAACAAGTTTATTAAGGTTCTTGTGGCGGTAGCTTAAGCGTACTGCAGCGGATAGCGAATACAAGATCTGGGAAACCTTTTTGGTATTAAAAGGTCGCGCAATTCTTTCTTCTGTTAACAAAACCCGACGCGGTTACTGCGCTAAGCAGTTTTCGAAGCTCTGGAAAATATAGTAAAGTAAAATTTTAGAGCAGATTGTGACTGTGAACGAAATCTCGGTCTTTTATTAAGATCCTCTTTCAAAATGAGAGTCTATGGAACGACGTCGACTTGGCAAGGTTCCTCGGAGGGAAGCAAAGTCGGTCAATTCATAAGGGAAATAATGGGTACAATTTTTTTGGATTACGATGTCATACTCTTGATTGGTCTTAAGAGA